ATAGTGTGTGTGTGTGTGTGTGTGTGTGTGTGTGTGTGTGTGTGTGTGTGTGTGTGTGTGTGTGTGTGTGTGTGTCTGGTAAGGAAACATTTGTGTTAAGAGTTGGAGGCCAGCCTCTCAAAAAATCATTCAATGATCTCAGCTATCCTCTTCGCATTGTGTGATTAAGCAGCAGTCTTGTTTATATTCAAAAACGTTCACAAGCTTTTCTCTTGACTGGGATCAGCTGATTCTCAACACTATTTGGTTTTGTCGGTATTTGGGAAGTCCTTTGACTTCAAACAAGCAGTGTCATTTTATTTTATTATTATGTTAAAATTGGATTCGGGATCCAATGTCTTATACAGTGTAAAACCAGGAGAAAACCAGTTATTTTTCCAAGCTACATTCCTGTATTTCACCTTGTATACAGATGTGTAGGTTATATTCGTATAACCTACACATATATATTTGTATGAGAAAAGAGTATGTGGCTTCCCAAATCCCTATCCCCTCCAGCCTTCAGTGATGCAGAGCCAGTCACTGCTTTACCCCGAAAGCAACAATGTGGTGCATGAAACAGCAGGCTGGTTCCCTGTGGAAAAGCAAATGCTGGAGTGGCAGACGGAGGCTGAGGCACTATGGGAAGAGACACAGTCAAGATGCACGAGGAAAATCTGAAATATTCACATGGACTCTAAAATGTAGTACATAACTGTGTATGCCATTTTTCCATCTGTATGTGCGTACTTTGAATACAATACAAGTGTTTTCAGCAATGAAGTGTCATTTTTTGAGTCTAAGAAATACGTGTCAGTAAGCTAAAGGGAACCTGCAGCAAAATCCTATTAGAAATGATATAAGTGTTTTCAGTTGACACTAACCAATCTCAAACACCTGTGTAAAATACTTGGCCTCTTTCTTCCTTCAAATATCACTTATTTCACTCATGCCACCTTAAAACATTTTTTAAACATTTCTTAAAATGAATGTTTATTTCATTTATTTCCTAACTGTCACTACTGGATTTTTAAAAGGTGGCATAATAAATACAGGAAGCAGGCTTTTAGGGTTGGGAGTAGGTATGAAGAGTTGCAGGTTTTTAAGAGAGAAAAGTGAGAAACCAGCCATCAAGACAACGACAGGCAGCACAAAATGAATATTAGCCTATAGTCATCATCCACACTTACTGTATCTTACTGAGCCTCTAAGGCTGGAAATGGTAACTTTGGTAACAGTCTTATTCCACACCCATCTTCAAGCTCAGCCTTTTTTTTTTAACTCAACTACCCATCATAAGTTTTGTGATGCCAAATTTGACCAGTGGTGTAAAGTGGGGCACACTCACAAAAAGACAAGTTACTACAATATAATATATGTTTATGAATCTTCTTTGTGAATGTACAGAGACAAGAAGCAAAAGACTGGAGTGAAACAACAGCAAGATGTTGGTGAGCTAAAAGCATCTCAATTTAAGATTCAGGGCATTAAAACGGATACAGTGCTGAAGACGGGAGCCAAGAACGACCTAAACATTTGAAATAAAGGCTTTTCTAGTAATCTTAGTGTCAAGTTAATTTACCTCTAATAAATAATAATCAGACCCTTAAGACTTGAGAGTGTCATCTTTATATACATTTTCACTCCCTGCTCTGCATGTGTCTTTCTTGTAAATGTTCTATTCCCTGCTGTCTTTACTTCCTCTCGCATCTCCTTTTTAATTTCTGCTTTTTCTCCAGTTTTCTGTTTTTAAGAAAAGGACGAGGGCAATGCTTCTGGTTATTGGTCCCTGAAGTCTAAATGTAGAACACACTCACAACCTATTAGTTGCATGATGTAAAACATTATCACGGTAGATGAAGATAGGGTATGTTATATTTAGCATCTCCGTGTGTGTGTGTAATTATCACTATGGGGACTCACTCCCGGACTATACGATTCCTCTTTTACACACTCCTAAATCAACTAGTTAAATTAGATCTCTCCCTCTCTCTGTCTTTGGTGCTGTTTAATTATTCTGTTTCCATATTCAATGAAGAGAAGAGAACAAGAGGAGAAAAAGAGAGGATATTTATTTTTAGATTTTTCAGCAGGTTGTTTGGCTGTAAGGAAGGACAGCATGGTTTCAACCCCGGATTAGAGACACCTACAGTGACACACACACACACACACACACACACACACACACACACACACACACACACACACACACACACACACACACACACACACACACACACCAGCGCTATTTAGTCACACATCGGCAGGTAAGCCCTGGTATTCATGAAAATCTACAGAAAATGGTGTACCATTTATACAAATGTTTCTTACTGACAAAAGACAATATTTGACCTGTATATATGAATTATAGCAAAATCAGTATAATGTGTATATTTATAATGCAATAGTAACTATAATAGCGCCAAAACTCCACAACCTAATACATAGACATATACTGACCTTGTTATTATCTGACCTCTCTGATAGCAAATACATCAGTGTTATTTAAGTGTGTGTGTGTGTGTGTGTGTGTGTGTGTGTGTGTGTGTGTGTGTGTGTGTGTGTGTGTGTGTGTGTGTGTGTGTGTGTGTGTGTGTGTGTGTGTGTGTGTACTCTCTCTTACCTTGTTCTCTCAGGTTGCGGAACAGTTTGGAGGATCCTCTCCATACTGGGGGAGTTTCTACCAAAATCTTCTCCAGCTCCTGACAAATGCACAAAAACAAACACATATATATCAATTAACTCAAAACCTACACCTTCAAGCTTCAAACAATGACATTTGCATTGACAGAGACAGTGGGTATCATGCAAGGATTCACAATAAAACAATCAAGTGAAAAAGTAACAAAGAAAAATGTGAAAACAAGAAGTTTTTTAAGATTTAAAATAATTTGTTTTCTCTTTCATATTTTTGAAAACATGAGCTGCCAACATTAATTAGATGTAAATAGGTCACTGGTAGAACAATGGAGCAATGTTTGCTCAGCAGGTTCCTGTTTTGCATGTATCTCGTGCTCTACTAGAATGACCCCGTGGGTAACACGATACATATTGGTTCCTACTGCAGAGAGCAGAAATGCAAATGTATAATATTTGCAATAAACGCTTTCCACTGATAAACAACTGGTAGTTGTAAGGCTCAGAGAAGACGGGGGAAAAGTAGACAATCTAACAATGATTTTTGAGCAAGGAAACAAATGAAACACATTTATTGTGCCTCATACTGTAATATACACAACGGTCTTGGTAAAAAGACTCCAAATGCAAACATAACCAAACACAGGATACCTTTAGGATTGTATTGGGCTTTTAACCTGGTAAGAGAAAAGTATGTCCTGTATTTCAACAATATACAATATTTCTAGAAACATATAATTAACAAGTCAGTTATTAACAAGTTAACTATGGTTTATCCAACTGATGTTAATACAATTGCATTACAGAAGTCACCTGATTGGTGCCAATTGAATGGAACAATTGCTATATTTACATATGACTATTTTTCCATGTACATTTGTTATGTTAAATTGTAGTGGAGAATTTAACACAGATTCAAATGTTCAAAGGTGAAGGGGTCAGGATACTTTCTGCAGCTGCTATATATCACTCTTTAAACACCTGGACTGATTTTCATAGTCTAACTCTTACCAACATAAGTGACCAGTATATAGTATATATAGGACGTATATCGTTTACATGTGGTGGCCGCTAAAATCTTCCTTCACATGTTTTTATTTCCGTGCATAATGTGAGAATGAAACTAATAATGATGTGCAATCATGCATAAATGCTAACAGATTCTGTCTCTGAAACAATCCTGGCAAAATCTGTATTTGGACTGCAGTGTGCAACAGATGTAACATGCAGCAGCAGCAGGAACAAGCATCAGGAGTGTGTGTCCCACCTGTTTGGCCAGGGACCTCCAGGGCCTCTTGTCTGCCAGGGAACGAGACAAAAGACGAGAGAAGAAGAAGGGAAAGAGGAGAAGAGAGTTTGGGTGGGCTTGGTTAGATAGCATCTGTATGATCTAGAAATGGGTCTTAATGTGCCCGGTACAGTCACAACACACACACACACCAACAGGCACAGACACACTCACTGTATATACACTGTCATCATCACAGGCCCATTTGTACCATCTAAAGTGCCCCGTGCTTGTCTTTGTAGTACGTGGAATGTCCCCGTAAAAGCACATACTACTTTTTTTCTGTTTTATACAACAAAGTTCATCTAATTCAACTTCAAAGGGGGCATTAGAGGATGTCGGCTGCTGAGAGGGTATGTGCGGCTGTATCGTATGTCAGTGAGCCTGGCTGGATGTAAACACACACATACAGGTGCACAGTTTGCACGCAATACAATCACATGCGCGCTGAAGGAAGGAATGGTAGCTCTTTTGGAAGTTTTGGTTTTGATCATCTCAACTTGTGAGGGCATTTTTAAAGCAGTTGTCACAAAGTAAAAAAATAAGTTAAGTGTCTGGTTTAGATATTTACTGAGAAAAGAGCATTATGAGCCAATGGATGTGGACAAGTAGAGTGGTGTATGAGTGTGTGTGTGTGTGTGTGTGTGTGTGTGTGTGTGTGTGTGTGTGTGTGTGTGTGTGTGTGTGTGTGTGTGTGTGTGTGTGTGTGTGTGTGTGTGTGTGTGTGTGACTAACATTAACCTCAGACTAAACATTAGCTGTAAAGCCATCTGCTTTGAGGCTGGCTGGCCAGGGCTAATCTGTTAGGACTGGCAGCAGGCTGACAGAAAGAGCAATGACGTGTTCAAACCAACTACAGGGTTTTTAAACTTTCTGTAAAAAATTATCTATTTTACACCTGGCACTAGCATACATATTGGGAGATACATTTCGGATCAGATGTGTCCATCAGAAAACTAAAAACACATTATTATGTTTGATTTGGTCGGTTATCAAAAGCATATAAAGATATAAAAATGCTTGTGTACCAAAAAGGAAAATAAAGAAATATAACTTTAGGATCCAACTCTCCCAGTTATGTTCAGTAGCATTGTGAGTTTCTGAAATAGGTCTGTATTGTATAATAAATGATGTCACTTGTAAGTGTAATCATTCAAATCTAGACACAGTTCAAATTTCATGAAAAAACCTATATGGCTGTGTCAAACTGAAATGGCTCATACTAGAGGATGTAGTTTCCCTCAAATGTAGTTTCCCTCAAAGCAAAAACATTTTTTAAAGTTCAAAAACACTTTGGACCATGAAAGCAAGGTCTCTACACAATATATAAAAGCTACAATAATCTACTCTAGGTGGATAGAAACCCACATTATTATGTCCCATGTAGAGTGTTAAACCGGGTGAAAAAGTGTATTTGAAACATACTTTTGGGTTCGCTCATGGTGACCGACTCGATGAAGTTTTGAGGAGTCATGTAAAGCTGCCCATCGTACTCCACAGAGCTGAACATGCGGAAGCGATGCTCATGAGACGACATGTACACGTCTCCTTCCTCAAAGTCAAACGGACGTGCCTGCAGACATAAAAAGAAAACAAAACGCAGAGCAAAATATTAATCTATTAAATAAAATATTATTAAGAATTTTTTTTTTTTTTAAAGAATCAAAAGAGAATGCATAATCAGAACAAAATAACAGTTAACAGAAGGACACAAAACAGTCAAATGAGTGCATTTTACATTACTTACAATAAATCATAGTGAGTGATGTTAAAGTATAGGCATTACCAAAGGTACATGTCATAATGTACTTTAAGTATTTTACCAGCAGGCTTCCTCATCGAGTAAGAGGGAACTCTGACGCACAGACAGCAGAATCTAAACCTCTTCACTGCTTTTGAATATCTTTAATGAGGAGATCCATCTATTCTTGGCATCAACTTTTCAACTTGCACCTCTGGCGCTGTACAATAACAGGAAAAAGGGGCGCAAGAACAAGCATACACACACAAATACTTTGTCACTACTTTCTACTTGATTAGCATCTCTCCCTCTCTCTCTCTGCGAGGAGCCAGGGCTTCAACTTGATTAGCTGCAGAGTAGGAGAGCAGCTCCCACAGATTGTGCTGCATGAAGCGGTGTAATTAGCAGAGAGGTTTCCAAATGTAAACCTGTTTGGCCGCAGGGCCCAGCGCACCGAGGTTCCTGCTCAGCGTAGCTAACATGCTAATGAGCACACAGATTCATTCATAAAGCTTTGATGCTGCCTTCACCGAGGGGGCTTTTGAAGGCGTGAATAGGAGATGAGCTCTCGGCTTCATAGGAATGCACTGTAATCAAGTGTAAGAGCACAGGCGCCCGTGGCTTTGACTCTCACTATTGAATGAAGTTTATAAAGTTCTGCAAAGGCAGCTCGGTGCCAAGCGGCACGACATGATGTGAAAAGTAATGCGAGCTCCTCGGGGAAAAATATATTTAAATGGCAGTGATTCGAAATGACATTCAGTGAGGTACACAGTGTTCTTGCGTGGTTATAATGATATGTAGCCACAACTAAACCTGTCGCCAAGCCTTGTTCTCTTAACTGCAAAGCAGATGCTCCAGGTGTTTTACCCTCAGGAAACCCAGTGTTCTCCATCTGCAGATGTAAGTCCATCTCTTCATTTTTTTGTTAATTTAGTCATATTAAAGTACAATCTATCTGGCTGAGGTGCCAGCATATATGAACCAGTTCTTAAGTCTGAGGTGTTAAAATGTCATACAACAAGTCTGATTTGATGATTTCTATCTATTTAACCAAGAGTTACCCAAAACATGTTTCATCGTGATATATATGATGTGATACATTTATATAGCGATAGAAGATTTTGGACATACCGTGCAGCCCTATGCTGCACGTGTCTCTTGATTGCCTGCTTTACTGTCTTTCCTTCAGGAAAATACAGACTCTGTACCTCTGAGACTTACATTATTTAAGCTGATTGGCGTTCCTTTACCTATGTTAGGAGTTCTTCTAGCGCAAAGCTGGCAAAACATTCCCAAGTGGTCCGTTGTCCATCTGAACCCAGCAGCGCCCAAACGCTGAGAACCACTCTGATGGAACCATTGTCTCCTTATGTGATTCTCAAGTTTCCCAATCATCCAACCAGACATCAAGTCACTCTGTATGATAGTAATTCAAACACATTATTTACATGTTTAGGCGTCAATAATTCAAAAAAAAAAATACTATATATATATAAGAGTATAACTTCTGAGTAGCTCCCTTCTCCGTAATGATTAATTGTATGGATTTATAGTTTTACTTTTGGTTGATTTTACTGCTCTGAGTAATACATTAAAAACTGTAACTTGTACTGTGTTGTTTTTAACATTTGGAATGGTTAAAAGTATCGTGAGTACTTCTTAAACAGCTGGAAAAGGTTCATTATAATTATTTTCTCAAGCAACCAAATATTCAACATCAAACTGCAGGAACTACTTAGCTATTCAAGTATTTGGCCTTTTGGAAACTAGTTACAAGTCTGAAATGTGTGTATTTGATTTTGAAGTGTTAGCCTTGAACAGATGTGGAAGAAGTATTCAGAGCTTGTACTTAAAGGGTTATTACCCGTCCCCTTGTGTGTTATGTTCTTTTTATGCATGTAAACGGTCTGCAGAGTCACAAACCCTCAAAGTACACCCTGTAGCGAGTAAAACTCTAACACAAAAAAGACCTGTCTATGCTGCCTCAGAACGCCTCGTTGGGGATTTCTCTTTTTCCATTGTTTACTTCTTGGGTATAGTGAGGCTCACAGGGAGGGGGGGAGGCAGGAGCTCCAACAAGCCGTTTATGAAAGAGAGTGAATACACATACTATACAGAGATGATCAGTAGAAATGGCAATGACAAGTGTAATACTGTTACCAGTGAAAGTCCTGCATTAAAAATGTTATTCAAGTAAAAGTACAAAAGTATTGGCATCTAAATATACTTAAAGGGGACCTATCTCTCTTGTACATCTTTTATACATGAATATGTGTCCCCGGTGTGTCAGGGAACTCACCAAGTGTCAGAAAATAAAACCCTCTTTCTTTTCCTCCATACGCAAATCTCTAAAAAGGGGCTGTAACGGATCTGATACAGACTGATCCAGATTTGAATTATTTTCTACGTCACAAAACAGGTGCTCCGCTTATTGGTCAATTCTCCACCTATCAGGGGAATGAGAGGTTGGGCCACGGCCGGCCATTGCCGCTCGAAAGCGCTGGAGACGCTGTAGTACATATGCCAGGCCTGTAAGTGACACTGTAGTCGGCCACAAAGCAGCGAAGAAGACTTCCCTTGCATTATTGCCATGGTTGCCCTTCTGTTAATTCTCCTGGCTGTCGCTCTTTTTCTCCATGCCCGGAGGGCAAGCGTTTGCGCCTCCGGCTTTAAAACAAATGAATAATGGATCATCCTATATAAATCCTATGTAAGGGATAATGTGCAACGACGCGGGGTCGATTATGGGAGAAAAGAACCACCGACAGGCTGATCAGGAGCCCGACAGCTGCGAAGCGGAGGGATCTGATCGTCAATGAAGGTGTTATTTTCCCCATAATGACCAAGTCGCTGCACATTATCCCGCTTGCATTTACATGGGCGCACATTACGTCACAGAAGTAACGATATGACTCCCCCACCCCCCCCCCCCCCCCCCGCCCCCCCCCCTCCCCCCCCCCCCCCCCCCCCCCCCTAAATTGAAATGGATTTAGACATGATTATGATTTAAAAATAGTTTGTATTGTATTGATTTAAATTGACATTGCAGTTTCCGCTCAAAAAATTAGTCTCCCAACCTGGTAAGAAACTGAACGTTTTGG